AGATCACATTATTCCTCTTCTGAGAGCCTGCCCTGGGTTTCCCCCAAAACTTACAAGGACTATGATTCACAGTATTTAGGTAGGTTCAACTACCACATCCTTCTAAATTAAATTGCTTTGGTATTCCTTCACGCATCTGCACATCACTATCTAGTTTCTTCCATCCTAGTTCAAAAATGTACTGTTATTCTTTTTTCTCCATGGTTCTCTTTTTTTTTTTTTTTACTTTTGTACTTAATGACTTTATGTCTGGCTGTTGACTGCAAGCTGTGTTTCCTTTGGGGTTTGTTCAAAGTTTAGAACTAGTCTAAGATATATTAGTCCCAAAAGAGTGTGTGAGAAGGAAGAAGGGTTGGAGGATCTAAATTTTTTCTTGGGAAAATTTAGAACCCTAGAATTAGAAAAGACCCTTTCTTCTATATTTTTCCCCCAGATGAAAATGATGAAGAAATACCAAGTTTTCTCTCCATGTATACCACAAGTAATAAAACAGGGATTTTGGAGTCAAGTATTTCAAGCCATGAAGACACAACACTCACTAAATTAGTGAGTACCAGCATAGAAAATTTCTAGCAAGGTGCACTGGAAAGATAAAAGCTCAGATGTGCTTTACACCATCTCCAAATGAGATCAGCTCCTCCTGATGACTGATGGACAGTGCTGATGGACTGTCTTTAAGAGACAGACACTGCACTTGACAACCAGCCAAAATGGTTCAAAAATGAAGATGTGTGATTTATTCAAAGGACCAAATATCTCACAAAACTGGACAGGGGGAAGGGACAAAAATGCAGGAGGGGAGAGGGGTCAGAAACAGTCCAAAACCTGTGCAGGCAACAGCAGCATAAAAACAACCAAACAGTACTACTCCAAGAATTTGGTCATAAAGTTTAATGGCTTGTTATCTATGCGAAGCCTTCAGCAACAGAGTAAGAAGTGCCTGTTTTCCCTCATTTCACATCTTTACTGTTCAATGCTTTCTTTTCTCTCTGTCTCTCTCTCCATTTTAATCTAAACAATATATCTGGTTTGAGTGTGACTATAAAGCAGACACTTAGCAGGGACAGAGGTGTGTGCCAACTGGAAACGGCTCCGCTCCCATCCTTTCCCAAGGTTGTTCCTCACCAGCCACACCTGAGGACAACAAGCCTGCAGTGCTGTGATCAGCCAAGAACGTGCTCCAAGGGTAGCAAAGAGACAGCATGTCCCAGTAGCTTGCTGGGTTGTGCTTGCAATACAGCAGGATTTCAAGTCTTTGAGGTGTTGTCAAACACTGTTTTCCTCCAAGACGTTCATTTAACACTAGATTATAGAGTGCCCTGGTAGGTTTGCATGAAGGACATTGCGAGACTGACTGATAGACTGATGGGATAAAGATGTCAGGAAAACATTCAAAATTTACTTTTGGCAGAAGTCGAGAAAAAGAAGTTGAAAGCCTTCCAAATCTTGTTGCAAATAGGCTTTCCCACAGATTTAATGGGAAAAATAAATGTGCAGATTCCGAGACCCTAATTTGAATCACATTAGTGATTTGAGATGCTCCATCATTCTCTACATCATATGAGCTGCAGACTTGTGATTTCCCAGACTCTGCTAATAACAAGCCGTATAATTAGGTATCTGTCCTTTGCAATTAGCACTACAGCTTTCTGTTCATAGGAGTGAAATTGTAGGGTGGGAGAACCACTCAAGAGCATAGGAAACCACTGCTGTACTGTGGCTGGCTAATGGTTAAAAATGTTATTAGGTATGTAGCATGCTAATAAAAATGTTCTTGCTCATTTGTCTGTCTGATTGAGCCCACACAAGTTTTGGGTGCAAGCTCATTTTCTCAGACTCCAGTTAAGTAACAGATTTCTTCTGATTTTCTGCTCCCCCGTACCCATGAGCCATTTGCCTGGATGACTGGCCACAGACTGTTCCTGCTCATTAAGCAAGATTTGCTTTTGAAGTTTGATACTGCAATATGATGTGGAAAGGCATGATGGAGAGATGCTGCCTAGGGATTTACTCTCCTATTTTACCCTGTTTTTTATTTTGCCCGTGCAGTTTGCTGGTTTCTGTTCTTTGGCTCAAAAAGAAGAGCCCAAGCATGTCAGCAGGTAAAAATCAGACTGTTACTTGACTATCTTGTAAAGATTTGAGAGGTAGCAACAAGTAGGCTTCAGTGTAAAACCTTGGCCTGTTGAAGTCACAACAACATCAAATGTGTGAGGGATTTTACATCCAAAGGGAGAGACATTTTGCCAGTCTTATCACAGCCATTAGAAGCAAGAGAGAAAATTAATCCGATTACACTGCCTACAGTAAGGCAAAAGTCTGCTGCTCACTGCATTGCACTTGAGATCACAGCAACTCCACAAGCCATTCTGGTGGTTTCTCTGGACCTCTCTTTTGTCTGGAGAAGTAAGTTTCCTCACCAAGTTGTCTCTGACTACATTTTAAAAATAAATTTAATGCCAGTGCATCCCATTCTTCACTCCAGCAAAACTGCCTTCGGAGAAAGCAAGGACAGCTCTCAGACGTAATTTTCTGCCCAGCACTTGCTCAAGAGTCTCTTCATCTCTGAGGTTTCCAAAGCCAGGAGGGTTATTTTCAGGGACACAAATATTAAAATTAATGCTAAATCCAAAGGACCGCATGCTGTGGGGCTTGATTGGGTTTGGACAAAGACTGTCACTTTCTGAAGTCATCCTGCATGTAGATAATTTTTTTTTTTCCTCACCTAATCATGGTTGCGAGAACGTAAATCATGCGAATTACAATGAGCGCAGCTGATGAACGTGCGCCACAGGAGCTCCAATCCCTCTCGAGGTCACCACTGAAGAAAGTCCCTTCCCCGGGGCTTGATTTCTACTGCTGGGCACACTCCCTCCTTAGCCACACTATTTTGAGCACCTTTGTTTCTGTTTTGTCTAGTGTCTCCTTTTAATGGGAAAATGAAGCCCAGTAAGTAAAGGCTTCCTGTATTTTTTCTCCATTCACTTACAACCAGGCTCTTAATAATTGGATATAAAGTGAAAATCCTCAGGAGCACAAGAGTGAAGTCTGCAAGTGCACGGGAATTCAGTCCTCTCAATATTTATGTTTAGCATTAAATACTTCATGCAAAAACAATGACTTTGACTCCCAAGGCCTTCCCTCTCTTATCTCAAAAACTGTTCATACACATGCTCTGGGATCCCTATGCAAATATAAAAGGGAGATTAAGTTGTATGTGCAGTAAATCCTGCTTTTACACTAAATAGGCAAGAGCTAACAGAGGGCCTTTGGATTAAAAATAGGTCCTTGTTTGCTGAGCAGACTAAAGTATTCTTACCTCTGGCCTCCCTGCCATGCAGGAATTGACTTTTTCCTGATGAGAAATTAAAGTGAATTATAAAATCTATAGTGTATTACAGGTATGTTCTGTGAAATAAATTATTTTAATTTAAATAACTGTAAATTAAGAAATGTCCCCTGCCTCCACACTTCTTGTTTTGCAATGGAATTCTGTGCCCCAGCCTGTGTATGACAGTACTATTGCATAAGATACTTCCATACCCTTAAGGAAATACTGGGGACACAAGGTGAAAGTTAACATCACAGCTCTCTGAGTAGGAAGCAAGCACTGCCCCTGGACCCAAACATCAGCTTTGGCCATCATCTGGTGTTTTCTTTCTACCCTTTGCAGCAGGATCCAGGAGGAGGAGAGCTCCTCCAGCCCCACCAGAACAATTGTTACATCTAGGACTGCACATCAAACACATTGGCATTTTGGTTCAATTTTTATGGCTTGTCCCATGGTGAGGAAAATCAGGCTGTAGCATTCAGCTGAAGAAGGACACAGAAAGCAGAGGGCTCAACAGGCAGCCCAGCTGTGTGACTGCTGACCTGCTTAAGTGCTTTTTTGTTTCACCCATTTTTATTTGTTCCTGAAAACAATTTTTTGAAACACCAAAACACTGCTGAGCAGAAGGCAAATTCCTCTCTCTGAGTCTTGTGAGACCAACCCCTGGGTCCACAATGAACACAGTTCATTGCCAGAGTAGAAAATACCCCACAGAGTCAGATGGAGGGACTTAAAGGAACTGACTGCAGAGGGTACAGCAGAGCTGGAGGAGGCAGAGATGCACAACTTCCTGACAGCCCCAGTCAGGGGGCTGGGGCTTCCTCCTTCTTCTCACAGCTGGACTCAGGCAAACATTCCCTTTAAACCTGCTCCTCTCCCTCTCCCTCTCCCTCTCCCTCTCCCTCTCCTCTCCTCTCCAGAAATTTCTGGGAGAAATGTAGAAGCAGTTTTTGCCCAAGTCATTGGCCTTTGCAACTTCCCCAGGCCCTTTCAGCTCAGACACTCAGCTGCCAGAATAAACAGCAGCCTTATTTCACCTCTGGATGGTAGGGAAAAAAAAGTCACATATACAAAAGACCTAAACCCAACAAGCTGGAGAGCTCTATTTGAGGACAGCAGGGGTTACTGACACACTCCAGAGGTGTGAGGATGTTGAGTGAGACAGGGTGAGGATGTTGGTGTGCTGTGGCCCACAGGGGCAGCTCATGCCAGAGAAGCTCAAGATGCAGCACAGAGGAAAAAAGAACAGCAAGGCACCCTTGGGTGGAACCTGCCCACCATGACTGAGATGATGAGACACCCAGGCTCTCCTTTAGGGGAAGCACAGAAGGGCAGTTCACCCACCTCCCCTCAGGGCCTGCCAGGGCCAGGCTGCCTCAGGTGCCGGCAGTATGATCCTTCCTCCAGACAAGCTCGCAGGCCGGTGTGACATCTGGCCACTTCCAGCATGCCAGGCAGGTGTGACATCTCTGGATGTGATCTCACACGTCCTCCACCACTGCAAGTCACTGTCCCCTCCATCCCCCAGCCCTGGCCAATCTCCCACAGCCCCACCCAAATATCCAGGTAGGGCTGCAAACTGGCAGGAGCCCCCACCTCCTTGACTGAGAAATGTGTCGATGTGGGAACTATGGCAACAGAATCCCCATAGATTCCCAACAGAACCCCAGTGGAACCCTAATGGAATGTGTGGGGGTGGGGGGCCAACAGCCCCGCAAAACAGTGACAAGAAGAGTTCCAACAACACCCAGGGACACAGAGAGCAAAGAGGGTGCCTCAGGCCTCTCCCAGCCAGCAGACCTTTTCCTGGTCCTTGTGGCGAGAAGCCTCCTGGATATTCCTGCCCGAAGAGGTAAGCCTGCTCTCTGACACCTGTGCAGGGTTTGATGGGGACAAAGCTTTTTTTGTGGCTATCAGATGCTGCTTTATTATTTTTCCCCCATGTACTCTTGTTGAATCCAAACTTGCTGTTCTCCTTCCCTGGTTTCCCTTTCACATGGGAGATGAAAACCAAACCTCTGGTGGAAAAAAACCCCATCCTGTATGGGAGTTAGGTAGGAAGGAGGAGGAGGAAGCTGCAGGATGCCTCAAGGGCCATCGCTTCCCTGCTGCAGGCAGGGGTAGAGACAAAAGAGTGGGTAATGGCAAGTGGAGAGATACAGAGCTAACCTCCTCCCTCAGCCCCTCAAGCATCCCTGAGATCAGACTTTCCTGAGATGTACTTTAGCAGTTGACCAGACCACACTATAGCTTAACAAAAATTAAAACAGAAAGGGAAAACTAAGAAAAACATTCTCAAATATACATTGAGCCAATCCTTGGGAGAGCTGGAGTCAGTGCACCCTCTGCCCACTCTGCTGTGGCTGCAGATACTGCCACAGACCCGCAGGTTGGCAGGCCCTAGAAATGGCACATGGGGACAACACATCCTGGCATGTAGCTTTTTGCCAAGGTGCCAAGGTAGGCAAGAGGTTTTTAAGGCATCTGGTAGGACTGTGCCTCATCAGTGCTGACAGCATTGTCCCTTGGCATCTTTCTCATTCTCCATGTTCTCATCGTAAACAATATTCACATTCCTTTATCTCTTGATTTTCTTCATCACAAATTTCTATTTCAGGACTTGCAGTTTTAATAGACAGTTCTGTGAATGTAAATATTTTTACCTTTGATGTAACACAACATTAAAATATCTGGATGTGCAGCATAAATAAGAGGCTCTGTTGAATCGCCAGAGAGCTTCTCAGCTCTCAGTACAACTGGCTCAAAATAACTGTGATTTTTCTGCTCTAAACCTAAACAATTTCAGTTATTCAGAATCACTGCAAATTTATACCACTGGTATAAATTGACTTGGTTTGACTTGGGTGCATTGTGACTATGATCTTTAGTTCTATGTTCAGGGACCAATGGATTAGTTATGTATTATTTGCCACCTCTTAGAAATGTTGTTCTCATGTCCACTAAAATATTTGGCAGCTGAAGAGGGCAGGACAAAAGGCAGTGGAGCTGGGGCTCCCTTTTTGCACTGTAAGACATGAAGCAGGAGAGACTGTCCTGCCAAAAGTCCTTTGTGTCCATGAGAGGATCGGGTCCTGCAAGCCAAAATGAGGAAAAATGTTTCTACCTGCAGTTCACTGCAGTGTTAGAAATCAAAACCACAGCCAGCAGTAACCTCAGCTTCGTGTTACCCAGAGCCAAACCAAATAAATCCCTTGGCGTTGCTGTCAGATGAATCCTTTATTCTTCCAGAGCATGAAACAGACGGCACCACTGGCAGTTAATCGGGGATTTCTGCGCTGTCAGACAGGCCAACTTCAGACCACTTCTTGTGTCTCACGCCACAAGTCCCAGTGCACACACAAACAACCATGATTTATGGCTGGAGCTGCTTTGCTTTTCTGTGTAGTGTAATTGCTGTACTCTTGAAGTGCCAGGCTTTCTGAAGAGCGTTCATGGACTCTAGCTCCTCAGCTGTGTGCTCTGCCTGCTCTGTGGCCCAGGCAATGGCATCTGCCAAAGTCAGGTTTTAAATCCCAGCAGAAGAGATGCGTAGTCTGATTCCACATACCCCTCTTAAGCCGTTTATGCTTACACGTTACAAATGTAATTTTTTCTGATTTACCAGAAAAAATGGGTTCCTTTCTTAATTGTGGATGTTGCTGGTTGCAAGCAGAGGCAGCTGGTTCTCATCCCTGCACCTGCAGAACTAGCATGACCTTTAAGACCTTGAGGCTGAGTGAATTTTCTGAGGCCTGGGTCATCACAAATTTGCCATATATTTCTGTATTTCTGTAAGTCTACTAATGGCCACTGCATGTTACAGAGAGGTAATCAGCCACTCAGTTGGAGCCAATGTCACTTCCATGGTGAGACCCAGGCTTTTGGATACAGCCCTTCAAAAGGAAAGACTGCTGAGATGAGTATTGCTGGCTCTGCTGGTGCTTACAGGACTGGTAGGATGCAACAGGCACAAGAGCTGCACAACAGGAGACCACTCAAGGGTCTTCTGTGTGATTTACAGCAACCAATTGCTTTCCAGACATCTTTCAAAGTGTAAAGTACAGAAACAGAGTTATTTTAGGAGGTTGTTTTCTCTACAGGAGTTGTGGTTATAACTCAGAATTTGGAGACCTGTTCTGGACACAGCTGCAATGGCAGAAGTAGATGAAACAACCTGCTTGTTTTTAATAGGTTTGTTTGGCAATTGAAGTCCATAAATGTGTTGGGGTTTTTTAGAGAGATATGTATTCTATTGCATTATGTTGTGTTTATGTATATGTATATTTATGTATATTATGTATATAATGTGTGTAATAATAACAACAGTACAGTGTGCATAATGTGCACACTACTCTCTTTCAGTCTGTAAATAAATGCACACTTGTATGTATAAATACACAAACATATCTGCCTCTTTGGCACTTAAGGAAGTGTGGAGTCCCCCAGCCCAAGCTGCCCTCGGTGAGTGGTGCTAAGCTGTAGCTCTGAGCATCGCAGCACCCGTGGTGCCAGCAGGTCCCTCTGTCCCAACAAAACGGGGAGACTGCAGTGACGCTTTACTGGAGACCCCAGTCCCTGCTGGACTGTGGGTCTGGCACCTCCTGACATCAACTATTGCATTGGAAAGTCCTGACAGAAAGTCACATCTAAATAAAGTCGAGGCTCTGTCAGATGCCTTTCATTGCAGTGGACTATAAACTAGGAGATTATAAATCCCATAGGATCAAGCAGGCATTGCTCAGAGGGCAAGTTTCCCTCTACAAGCACAAATACCTTGAAGATTGCAGTGGAAAGCAGAGGCTGAATAAACTCCTATTTACACAGTATTCTCTCCAGACCTGCTGTGGTACAGAAATTCCACTGCAATGTCTGTCTGTGGATGTCTCTCTAGTCCTGTGTACACAGCACTACTCTACCTTTCGGGATATGTGCAGGCATCTTACAATCGGAATTAATTTAATTGACATTTTGAAGTGTGACAGAGCTTAACTCTCATTTGATGGCATTGCACTCTCTGTCTTCTGCCTCTGCCTGGGGAGTTACAGACATACAAATAAAACCATTTCCCCTGAGATGATCCCACAGGGAAGGTGTGCTCTCTTTTGCAGCATCCTGCAGAGCCTGCCTGGAATACTGGGTCCCACCAGGTGCTGCCAGTGAAAGAGCTTGCCAAGGGATGTGGTCATAGAAAGGGTCAAGTCAGCTCGATTCTTAATGGGGGATGATGGGAGAGCTCAGAGTAAGGAAAACAAGGCTTTGATGGTGAGGCTGGCCAGCTCAGATTGCCAGCCTCACTTTGTTCAGGGAAGTGCCACAGGATGGGGATGGCAGGAGGTGCTGCTGTGGCCTCCCCTGGACACATCCAGCCTGGCTGTGTCTGAGAGCACAGGAGTGGGGAGCTGTGAGATGAAGCATGACAACAAGAGCTAAAGAAATACCGGGGAAACGGCACCAGAGAGGCAATTCCACTGTTATTCACACAAAAACATCCATTGCTCTGCCTTTGTCTCCCGATGAATCAGAGGAAATTGCCTCCAGAGCCCTTCGCCTTCCAGCTACTTCAGCTGTGTTTTGTTTCTCTAAGATTCAAATATTCTGACGAGATCTCAGCATATTATTAAGAGAACAGAAGAGCTATAGAGAAAGTGAAGCTTCACAGAGGAAATAGCCAGTAAATGTTGCTTTGAATTCTCTTGCTTTTTCTGGCAAACTCTGATGTCAGGGACAGATAGGGCTTTGGAGAAGATGTGTTGCAGTGCTGCAGATGTGAATACTTAGTGACAATCTCCTGTGACATTGCAATAGGCAGCTTACCATCATCTATGAGATTTTTAAGCCTGCCATTTGGATGTAACTGATTCTTCTATTTAATGCCATCCCCATGAACGATGAGCTTACAAAAGCAAAAGCACTCTTCTTTGTGCTGCAATCCTATCTGGCCAGATTAGCAAAATGTTCTATTTGCATTTTACAAAAATATTGGACTTTGTAAGAAAAATATGCATCGGGTCAAGTGAAAAATGTGAAGGTTTGATATCAAAATCCCAGAATGGCTCATGATGGAGAGGGTGAGGCAAACTTCCAAAGTAGGAATATTTTATTTTGGCACTTTCAAAATGTGGCATTCTGTCCCTCTAATTTGCCATGGGCTTTTTGTTTCAAACATTTCTTCTGATGAAAAGAAGCATAGAAACAAAAAAAAAGACCCACTCCACATTTAGAATTCAATAAAATACTTCATTTGATCCTCTTCAGTTTCTTTGAAAAGTTCAACATGAACACTCAAGTGCTGCATTCCTTCAAACTGTGCGGAAACTGCTGATCCGGGAGTTGTGCAGCTTTCATGTGCCAAATGCCAAGAGAGGGTACTCTAAAAGCTGCTGTAATTCAGATTATTCAGTGGGACTGTCCTGAGGAGGGGGGGGAACCTCAGTCTGGCAGGCACAGTACAAGAACAGAGACAGAAATTTTTTGTGCTGAGGGCTTTACCCTCCTGATCTATGATTCCCATAGGGTCAGGTATCTGTTTTTGTGTGGAGTGACACAGAGAGAATGAGATAATCCATTCAAAACATTTTTCCACCACTGGAAGAGTACCTCTTGTATGAGGTGGTTTTTCTCTTTTGTTTTGGGGAAAGTCAGGATAGAAAGGGTGACAAGGCAACATATAAAGGACAGATCCTGTCCCACTGCTGCTGCTGCATGGGGCCAGGCAGGGAGCTAAACCCCCAGGTTCACAGCTCATGCTCTTCCACTGGGTTTGAGAAATGCTCAGCTCAGTTGTGTTTTCATTTATTCCAATTCCCCATTTTCAAGGTTGCGAGAGAAAATATTTTAAAAGCCTTACTAATAATACATTATAGAGCATCCTTTAAAACATTCATGAGGAGGAAGAGTTCAAGGAGAGCAGTCAGTGATAAGCGATGGTGGTGTGCAGGGATGCACATCAGTGAAACTCTGTGCACAGACACAAGGCCAGGACAGCCCTTGCACACAGACACTGTGAAAGGGGCACCAGCTTGCCCCAGAGCAGACTCTGAGCTTGCCCAGATCCATGCACTGCAATCCCAGGCAAATGGCAATTACAGGGCACTGCAGCAGGCACACGGGCAGTCCTGAGTTGAAGAAAGCTGCAGCCAAAACAGCTGGGTTAGATTTGACTTCCAAACACAAGGTGGGGAAACACACTTGTTACCCTCTGCTTAGCACTGGAGAGGCACATCTGGAATGCTGTGTCTTGTCTGGGGCTCCCCAGCGTACGAGACTACATACTGGAGCAAAAGATCACCAAGACAGGTAGAGGCTGGAGCTTACGTGCACAAGAGGAGGTTGAGAGAAATGGATCTGTTCAGCTTGGGGGAGAAAATACTCAGTTTCCTCTCATTGCTGCCTGAAGCTGCCAAATGAGAGGGTGGGGACGAAACAGACTTCACAGAGCTGCACTGTGGTGGTATAAGGGGCAACAGACACACACTGGAGTATGGGAAATTCCAATTAAATATTAGGAAAAATATTGTCAGCATGAGGGTGGTTAAATATTTGAGTTGGAAAGGTTGTAGAATCTTAGCTTTTGGAAATACTTAGAACTTGCCTAGGCGAAAACCCAAGGACTGATCTAGTAGACTTGCTTTGAGGTGAGTCCTGGACCCTGGTGACCCCCAGAGGCACCTTCCAGCCCTGCTTGTTCTACAGCTCTGTGACCACAAAAACTTGACAGGGAAAGTTAGAATGACAGCAGTACAAAGATCAGCAGAGCAAATTACATAGAGATGTCTTAAAGTCTGATTAAAAAGCAAAGGGCTCTTAAAAGTCTGTTACAAGAGAAATGACAGAACTGTTCATGAAAGGCAGAAATGACAGACTTTTCCAAAACCAGCTCCCTAAGGAGATTAAAATTAAGAAACATAATTAGATTACATGATAATAAGATGCTTTATGTCCCAGCAATGAGGGATGCAGTGTAAAGCTAGGTTCTTCACAGTCAGGTGTTGCCAGCTAATTTAGACCAAACAGTAGTGAGAGAAACCTTTGAGGATATTTCTCGGTCCTTTACAATCAGTTTTCACCATTACCTGGATCAGAAGGAAAGTTCCAGAAAACTGAAAAGAAAATTATCCCAAGAGAAGGATAAGAGGAGAATTAAATGTCATCCTTAATGTGAATTCAACACTGAGTTAGGGAATATGGCTTTTGCCAGACCAATTAACTCAGTGATTGCTTTTAATGAGATATGGTATAAGTTTGACTGACAAAGGTGAAAATACCGATACTCCATATATGTGTTTCTCCATAGTGCTTGAGTTCATTGTGTCAGGCACTTGTATTACACAAGTAGACCAGTTTAGCCCTGTGGATTCAAACATGCTAAGCACTGTGTCTCAGACTTGCAGCCTTCAGTACACAAGAAATGGTGACAGAGGAGCATTGCCAGAGTACCTCAGAAACAGCTCTGGCTGGGACCTTGCCTGGGCAGGGTCCTCACCTTGGACAGTGCTGTGCTGGTCCTGCTTGGCCCTTGCCTACTCCCTTCTCAGAAATTACTCCACTGGGGAAGCCCAGCCTAGGGGTGAGGAGCATGTCCCACTGAGGGATCCCAAGGGCACCTGCAGTGACTGTGTGTGTCTGTGGGCTCCCACAGTGCTGGCAGAGACCCCTCTGCCCAGGCAATGGAAAGTTTTGGGTCTTCTGCATTGATAAAACACCTGGAAACAGCCATCTCAGTTTGCAGTCAGACAGAGCAGAGGAGCATCTTTCCTGATGGGAATTGACAGGGAGGGGCAGGCCAGGAAAGAGGAGGTTGCAAAGCACTAGTTCTGCCAAACTAACCTTATTATTTTCCCTCCTTTATCTTTTGACATTAAACAGACTGAGTGGGTGAGTGGAAGATGCAGACACAATTAAGCAGATATTGCAAACAGGAGGGTGAGTTGCTCTTTATGGCTAGTTTATGTTTCAGACACACAACTATACAGAATAATGCAATAAGAAAAACCATGCAGTATTTACCTTGGGTTTATTCACTGCAGGTCCTCTGAGAGCTGCTTTTGTTTGTCTTTATTTAATTGGCATGGCTGGATGGCCACCAGCAGGTCCAATTAAACAGATTCAATAGATTCCACTGTACATTTTTATTCTTTTTCCCCATCAGTGTGTAGCAAAAACTGTCCAAAATAATTTGTCTGAGTACTAGTAATGAATATAAAGTGCACTCTATTCCAGCCTGCACACAGTAAGTTTCAGCTGTACAGCATTTTACAGCCAAAGCAAACTGGGTTAATAATGAAATCACTGATGCAATCTTTAGTACAGCCTTAGTGAGGAAGAGGGTAACACAGTGCACTATGATATGAGATATTTGATTGCTCAACTTTGGGCATATCTGAAACACAGACAGGCATTATGTCATCCTTTGTAGCTATCTTAAGCTTTGGCCATAAGTATTAGGTGGGAACAATTTAAGAAAATCCCACCAATAGGACCTGATCATGCCCTTAATATCAGGTATTTGTTTAAGTGCTTTGTTGAATTGGAGCCTAGTAGATCCTCTTGAAAAGAAAGTGATTTTCAATCTAATAAGGTTATCTTAGTGTGAACATTTTAACTACATCAATCAATATGCCCATCAGGAGTAAGTGACTAATGGGATTTCTCTTTTCTTTCTTTCTTTGTTGCAAGAATGATGAATTGACTTTGCCTGTTGCTAAAGATTCTCATCTCCTTAATGCATTGCAGATATGTTTCATGGACACAAGCTGTCAGACTCTCGCAGTAACCAGTCCCAACCAAAAATATTTCCCTTTCGGATTTTGTCATTATATCCCAGATCTGTTCTCACAGTGGAAAACTTGAAAAGGTTGGAAGAGGAATATGCAGCTTCTAAAAAAGCCTTCAAAATGCAGAGAATGCAAGATTATATTGAGCAGGTTAATCTTGCTCTCTTCAACAAAGAGACAACTAGGACAACCAGCAGAGATTTTGTCTGTGATGCAGAGCCCGAAGGAGCCTCATCATCTCTTCCTGCAAAACAAGCAAACATTGTAATTGAGTTTTCTCAAAGACCTCTGAAGAAAGAAGAGAGATTGACAGGTATTTTTAGCAATCTGTTACAAGGAAGGAGAGAGAAGTCATCTGTTCTGGAGCTTTCCTACATTTCTCTCTGCATATCATAGAATCATAGAATGAACCATCATAGAATGTTTTGAGTTGGAATGGACCTTAAAGATCATTTCGTTCCAACATTCCTGTCATGGGCAGGGACACCTTCCACTAGACCAGGTTGCTCAAAGCTCCATCCAACCTTGAACAATTCCAGGGATGGGACATTAACAATTTTTCTGGACAACTTGTGCCAGTGTCTCGCCATGCTCACAGTAAAGAATTTCCTCCTAACACCTAATATAAATCTCCCCACTTGCAATTTAAAACCATTCCCCCCTGTCCTATCTGACTATTTAAAAAGTCATTCTCCTGCTTTTTTATAAGCTTCCTTTAAGCACTGAAAGACCTCTAGAGAAGACTCCCTGGAGCCTTCTGTTTTCTGAGCTGAACAATGTCAGCTCTCTCAGCATGTCCTCATAGGAGAGGTGCTCCACCATTCTGATTATCTTCATGGCCCTCCTCTGGCTTCAATCCAGCAAGTCCATGTCTTTCTTGTATTAAAGCCCCCAGAGCTGGACACAGAACTCCAGGTGGGGTCTCACAAGGACAGAGGGTCAAAATCACCTCCATCAGTTAGGAGGAAATTCTTTACTTGGTGCAACCATGCCTTTTGGTGCAGCCCAGGATGTGTTTGGCTTTCAGGACGACAGAAGAACATCAACCAGGTCATGTCTAGCTTTGCATCCACCGGAACATCCAAGCTCTCTTCCACATGGGCTGCTCTCAATGAGTTCTTCCCCCTATCTGTACTCATTATTTGGATTGCCTCAACCCAGTTGGATCACCTTGTACTTGAATGTGAACTTCAGGAAGCTCTCATGGGCCCACTTCTCAAGATTGGGATCTTCTGGATGATATCCCACCCTTGAGTTGTGTCAGCTGCACTGCTCAGCTTCGTTTCCATCTGCAAACCTGCTGAGACTGCGTTCCATCTCACTGTATCATTGATGAATATGGTAAAGAGCACCAGTCCCAAGACAGAGCCCTGAGGAACACCACTTGTCACCAGCCTCCATCTGGACTCAGAGCCATGTACAACTCTGCCTGCATCCCCCAGTCAATGCCTTATCCACTGAATAGTTTACCCTTCAAATCCATGTTTCTCCAAATTGGAGAGAAGAATGTTATCTGTGTCAAAGGCCTCAGTCTCTCTCTCTCCTTGTTGAGTGCTGAAGTTGTTCCATCATAAGGTGAAATATGAGTGCCTGGACACCTAACCTGGTGATGGGTTGTGAGGAACAATACATGCCTGCCTTTCCCTGCCTGAAAGTGGGGGCTGCATTTGTGTGGACTGCTGGGCTGGTTTGTACCATGTTTTGGGCAAAAAACACGGAGCTGTGAGAGCATGGTAAGGCACACCAGCATCCAGACCTTAATCGTAGCCGATATCACAAATGTGAAGTATGAATCTGTAAAGACAGGAAAACCAGAATTCAACCAAGAAATAATTTAAACACAAAACCCACCCATCCATTTTAGGAGCATCCCTTTTAATTTTGTTTGGATCAGAGCTGCTCTGTTGCATGTAAATGACAGCAAATAGACAGTTATCTCTCTTACAAGACTCTTCAAGCTCTGTTTACTTCAGATAGATAGATAGATAAATAGATATACAGGTAGGTGGATATAGGTAGATATCCTGCTTTTAATGACATTTTACAGCTCATTCAGTAATCCAGCCAAGACAAGGTCACAGCTGTCCCCTGTGAGTGGGTGAGGAAGGGACAAGGGGCTCCATCGAAAACCCCGGGAAGGGGACAACACAGCAGCCCTGGGGAACCACAGCTGATTGCACAGAGAGATGTCTGGCCTTTTGCAACACAGACTGGATAACAAACTGGGGTCCAGGTGGGACAGCTTGGCCTTAGTCTGAGTCTAAACCATGTTTTTGGAGGAAAAATTGTACTTTTTCCATTAATTCTTCTTTGAACATAGTATGAGCAGGGATCCCACCTGCTATAGGAGAGCCCCTGGCACAGTTTGCTTTGGTACAGTCAGAAATGCACAGCCAGCATGAAAGAGTCAGGCTATTCCTTGAAGTAAAGGGTTACCTATTTCCTAAGGAATTCATACATTGGTCCTCCTTGGGGGTTATCAACAGAAGTGTTTTCTGCTCACTTCTGCATTTTTCTCAATTCAAATTTTCCAGCTCCAGAGAATGAGAAATTTAAACTGTTCACACACGTAAGGTTAATGTTTTAAAGAGCTTTCCACATGGAAATCAAGTATTCTTATCAGGGATACATGTGAGCTGCATCCTTGAGGACAGATCTATCCTGTCAAGAGGCTGAGAGTCAGAAACTACCACAAAAGGCAGGAAGCAAATGCATGCAGAAACCTCTCTCAGTGCTATCCTAGGCAGTCATTTCTTGGATTTGCACATCACAATTAAAATTCAGATGATATATGAAGTTTGTTTCAGTAGAGAGTTAGTATGTAGACACAGGAAGATTTACCAAGGAAAATCAAATATGGGAATGCCTCATTAGGGACCCAGTGTCAACATTTAATATGTCTTCAAGAATTTGTACACTACAGTGGTTCACAGGGCTTTTTTGGCTTCTTTTGATCTCTTTTCATTGTTTTTTGTCTTTCATAAGAGTGGCTTATGTAATCTGAGCAGTAACCTGCATTTTGATGCTTTTTCTGGCTCCCCATCACAGCTATCTATACCTCTCTTTTTTGCCACGTGTCTTACTCTTATACATTTTCTTTTCTACCGTCTCCTCTGCCCCCCTGCTGCCCTTGCCAAATGCTTCTTTGTCCATCCTCTTCCCTCTTCATGTCCACAGGCGCTTCCCCTCTCTCCCATCTCCTTCTGCATATGCCTGCCCTACATCTCTTCCCTCCGTCCCCTCTGATTTTTTTGGAAATAAGACCACTTGCTATGGAGACACTGAGGTAGGTTGCACGAGAGCTGTATGACCTGACAGAGCATGTGAGACAAGCCTTCAGCTGACCCAGAAGGTGTAACAGACCCCAGGTCTGCTGTGCTCAGAATCAAGGCAAACCTGGAGGAGAAAGGTGCTGCTCTGGCAGCAAATCCCTCATGGTACCACACGTGGTTGTGCAACATGTTTGGGCCAAAATCACCCGTTTGGGTTCACTTTCCATTCTGGCAGCATTGTGACTTTCCCACAGAGGGGCACCCCCAGCCCCCTTCACCCCATTGCCCCTGTGCAGCCACAGGGAAGGTAAAATACCCGTGGGAATGTGCCCTTCCAAAGAGTCTCTAAAATAAGGAGATCCAAGCTGTTTACAGATGAAACCTGAACAGAAAGGCAAAGTAAATTAGCCTGTTACTCTTGCTCCTTCCACTGCAAAACCTGCCCTCAGTCTCCAGCAACCTTTTTTACAGTTCATTTTCAGGACCTTTTTCTTTGCTCTCCCTCAATTTATTATACCATTAAAACCGATGGAGAAAAATGTTCCTCGTTAAGGTGAGAGGGTTTTATCTGAAATACAAAATAATGAAATGGCAAGAAATCTCAAGGCAGGAAAAAACCCCAACCAACCCACTGTTCTACACAAAAAGAGGATTTTTCTTTTTTTTAATTTTTAAAGAAAGCTCTTTCTCTCCCCTCCAGCACTGTATTCTCAGCCCACTCAGCCCACAAGACTTGTGCCAAAGAAATCCAGGTAAGCAGAGTAATTGGTAACATTTTTCTATATAATTCAGTCACGTTAGGCTGTATTTATGCCATACACAGGAGGAACACCAAACAACTGGAAATTTACAGTGTGCCTGAGACACAGCCTGGCAGCCTCTGCTGTGCCCTTGCTATTAATAAACTGGAAGTTATGTCTGTCCAAGGGGCTGTCTTTGGGCCCCTCAGCATCAGCTGTTTTAAAAGGGATGCTGCCAGCCCCTGCAGAAGGGTTTTCTAATTTTTTATTTTATTTTGCTAGACAGATAAATCCTACGCAGCATCTCTCAAATCAACTGAGATGTGTGATTTTTATTTTACAGGCTGCTCTTCCAGCTGAGGACAAAAAATAGGTCTGATTCCCCAGCCACAGTAAATCACCATAATACCACCCATCCCACCACCAATGCTGCTGCAGAAAGGCGGATTTACACCATCTTGGAGACGTAGCTCCCTCCTCCCATCTGTCCAGTATAAACATACAGACGTATCTAATCCTCCCTGCAGAGAGAAGGTAGAGAGAGAACATTGAAAAGACAGCTGATTCAATTTAATAATAAACAACAAAAAACAAAGACCAAATTCTTCTTTTCAGTGACTTTAAGCAGCACTCAGTTCATTAATAACAATCTTTATAGAAATATCCAAATGATTTTTTTTCAGACTTCTTTCTTCCCTTGGCACCAAGAGAAATGGATATAAGCAGCTATTTTTGGGAAAGCTGTTACAGTGTTACATGAATAGACTGCAAGGTGGTTTTTGCATTGTATCTTATAAATTGCATTCATATAAATTGTAAATATGTTACAGATTTTAATAAATATTTAAAACATGCTTCACTCCTTACCTTGAATCAGATCACAGTCAAGCCCCAAACACAGTTTGCCCAGTATGTTATTTTCATGATTTTGCAGTTTGTTTTTTTTCATTTGACAATGCCACAGGTATCTTTAAATTAGTATATCACAGGGTCTGTAAAAAAATTATCCCTACATAACACAGACAGCTGTGGCTGGACACCTTGATAGTTCTGAGTTGTAGGCTCAGAATGATCTTGTAGCCGGAGTGACAGCTTCAGGTGAGAGTGGAAGGGTGTATGGAAAGCCTCAGTTGCTGCTGGACATGCTGTGGTAAAAGAGGGGTGTCCCAGCAGAGTCCCAGTCCAAGTGCACGCAGAGGGATACCATACTGTCAGCAGAATGGGGGACACCTACTGCCATTTGCAGAACTGTGTAAGCTGAGATTGGCAGGAGGGTGATTTTAGCACTGATAAAATGTTGTTTTGTCCAGTGGCAAGGAAAGCAGTCAGACCACAAAAGAGTCTGCACAGCTGCTACCAATACTCTCTGTCCATTCTGGTGTGCTGTCCTTAGCTCTGTGAGGGCAATTCTCTCCTCTGTTTGCTGCAGAGCTAATTTCACAGGGATAAATGCTATTCATGACCTGTATCCTGAGTTCTGTTCCTCTCCTCTTAAGCAGAGTACCCTCCTGGTCAGCCAGGGCAATGCTAAGCCCCTCACCTGACAGCCCAGCAGCTGAAGAGCATCATCAAGAGGGCTCTGAGGAAATGTGACCCCAGTCCACTCTGTAAAGAGCTGGGACTGGTTGATTTTGCTGTGAGATGCTCCTGGAGGCTGCTCTCCATCACCACCCCAAGCCATGAGGCCACAGCTGAGGGATGACAGCTGCTGAGGTGGGAGGATGCCCAGAGGTGCTCGTCCAGCCTGAGACAGCGTGGGCTGTCTCAGCCAGCAGAGATGGCTGATTGTGACCCAGAATGGAGGAAGAATATTCCAGTCTTCAGCTTCTTGATTTTAACAGGCCTCCTCAGCCTGATGGTTCCCTCACTTTTTGCCTGTAAAGGGGAAGTTAATTCATTTGAAATTCACCATCAGTTTGATGGTGCTGTCAGCCCATCCATCAACGTGCTCCTCTCCCCCCTGGCATACCCAGTCCTCAGGTTGTGCCTCCTCCTTGCCACCAGGTAAGGTGGGCTTCAAGGCCAGCATCTTCTTTTAGGCTAGCACAACTCCTGACATCCAGATTTCAAAGGACATCTGAGGGCCTTCTGAACCATTCACAAATGTGATTCAAATCAATCACATTGATTTCCAGGGGCTCATTAGATGCTCCATTGTTTTAGGGGCTCCTGGCCTAAGGGTTTCTCCAGGAGTGAAGCACAACATAGTCACCAGGCTGTCTCAGCCCACGAGGGTTTACGAAATGCTTAGCTTGCAAAACAAAAAGCATTAACTTCTCAGCTAAAGCTTTCTGCCAAAAGATAGGCAGGTCGTGCTTCAATGCAGATGTCTGAGGGAAAAAATGTGCAGTGCATTAGAGAGCTGTGACTCATAGAATAATTATCCTTGTTTCTCATAGTTTATTAATAATTTAAACCCAATCTTGATGTTATTGATCTATCATTGAATTGGAGATTTATTTCAGATCTGTAGTCACTGAAGCAGTAAATTTAATCCCCCTTTCCTCCCGCCCTTCCATCCACTAAACTCACTTTATAACTAAAACATGATGTTTAGGCTGTTTCAGTAATAGCACAGGAGAATAAGAGCTCAGAGGCAGTGGGTGGCAGGAGCCGCCTTAAGCCCACAAAATACCGAGGGAGGGCATATAAGGTTCTGGTTTTAATACATCATTTTGACCAAACCATCCTCTTGCCATGGTCTCAGGAATGACAAAAGGACTGGAACTTACTTGCTGGCATGTGCATCACAACCAGATCCTGGACCAATTTTGCCTGTTTTCATCTAGATTGGATTATCCACGCCCACAGTTAGCCATCAGTTTTGCATGCATCACACCAGTTGTGTATCCCACTCCTACTCTTCGTCACAGATACGAGTTCACCGAGGTAAAAGTGCCCACAATACGTAGGCTGTTGCAGGGCACATAAGCTCCTGGGCCCGATAATAATCTTACTTAAACTGGCAAAAACCTGAAGCAGCTGCCTGGGTATCCCAGGAGCACCATGAGTGTAAAATCCATTTATGTGCGTGAAGGATCAAGCCTAGAGAACTATAATGTGAAGACTCCTACAGCAGGGCTCACTGGGCTGTACCTTGTGTCTGCTGAATTCAATAATACAGCAGCAAGACTTGGCCTTTCAAAAGAAGCCAGGAATAGAAAACAACATCCTTTATGGCTATAATGTGCCCAGAAGGGTGATTTTTGTAGGCAAATGAAGTACATTTTTATTAGACCCATTGTAGCGTGTGGTTGGGTAGGAAAATGTGTTCTTGTCTGTACCAAGTCTTTCTCAGGTCTGAGAGAAAACAAATGAGCATAAACGAGTCTCTGTTCTTTTCCATCTTATGTTAATGATGATTGATACAATTAAATATATTTCCATCCTCTGCCAGCCTATCCTTGCTGCTGACCTCAGACCTGCAGCTGGAACCACAAGTGGGGTCTCTTGGCCACCCTCGGGGTCCCTGCAGCTATAGAATGTGTGACAGGGCCAAGCTGTCACAGCCTTGCTCCAAAAACCAAACCAGATGGATGTCATAGAACAGAGAGGATGTGCCGGTGTAGTAAGTGCTGCATGCACCCACAAGTGTGTGCTCTTAGTGTGCCTGGTGTTTCTTGCCCGTGGAGGAGACATACCTAGAGAAGAACAGCAGGAAAACAAGGCACAGCAAACTCTGTGTTTCCCAGAGGTATCATTCCTAATGAAACTGTCATGAAGCTCAGCTTTCCTTGGTTTGGATTTGGGGAGCTTTTGGGTTTCAGTTGATGTTAGCTAAACCTGAAATAAGACCAGGGAAGTGCTGCTTTTTCTTTGATTCTGAAGGACAAGGGCTGGTGCCAGCAGTAACACATCGGGGTGCAGGTGCTGGGTGTTGCAGGGCTTTTGTGAAAGGAACAAGCTCAGGGAAGTCCATGTCTGGAAATGCTGCTGGATGGCTGGGTCCCTGTGTCACTGGGTCCCACTGCACTGATGTATGTACAATGTATGTACAATGACAATATAACAGCTCCTGCAAGGCCCAGGCTCAGTGGCATTACACCTTTCTCAGAGGCCTGGGAGCCTTCTTTGGTGAGTTTTCACCTGAAGCCATGAATTCCTGGGAACTGGGGCTCTCCTGCAGTTGGAAAAGAGTGACCTCCCTTTCTCCCTGCTCTTGGTGAAATAGGTGGAGTGAGTGATGGCAGGCACAGGTATCCATCACCAGTTCAAGTCTGTCCTGAGCACCCACCTGTGATGGGAGGGAATTGGTGCCTCTATGTCTAAATACATAACCTCAACTCCCAGTTTAGTCCCACACCAGGCAGCTTGGAGAATGTTTTCAGTACTGAGCAGCCAGGTAGAGAAGCTGAGCACTACTTCAGGGCTTGGTCCCCCCAGAATATGCCATTTAACATGTCTAGGTCTCATTGCACCCTGGTAAGGTGAGGAAATGTCTTTTGCTGCCCTTTTAGGGTGGGCAGCTAGAGAGCTATGTCTGCATCTCTTTCTCCCCAGGCTGACTGCCTCCCATTCTGACTTGCTTGCTGGAGTTGTCTGCTCCTTGCTGTTGACAATATTAGGCTTCTAATTCAGGTTAAGCTTCACTTTGGGTGTTGACCTTGGGCCCTGGTTCAGCTCACACAGGACGTGTTTGCCTCTCTGAGCTGTGAGTACACGTTGCTGGGTTGTGTTGAGCTTCTCTCAACCAACACCCCAAGTCCTTCTCCTCAGGGCCTCTCTCAGTCCACTCTCTGCCCAGCCTGTGTTTGTCCTTAGGGCTGCCTTGTCCCATGTGTGGGACCTTGCACTGGCCTTGCTGAACTTGATGAGTTTCACATGGACCCACCTCTCAAGCCTGTCAA